TCCGCTCCAGTGGGGCGTGTGGAACATGTGTGCTGCTAAGACTCCCAACCTGAAACAAAGGGATGTGTCCACACTTGTTAAGTAAAGGATCTGAATTGGAACAATTTGGAACAACCACTCAACAAATTTCAAAAATCATTTAAGTTTTAAAGCTTAAAATTTAGTTTCGGGTTGTTCGGGTTTCCAGGCATGTGTTTGGCAGACCAGGTGTTTGATGTTCATGCATTATTCCGCGAGTCTATACCCTGTCACCCTGCTCAAGGTTCGTTTCGCAAATCCCTCATGCGTATGGATGGTCCGCTTGAAAATCAGTTGGTGAACTGGGACCCTCTTCAAAGCCTGTCTTCCGTAAAAGCATCTTCGTTCAGCTGGAGTTTTGGACCCTTGTATTCCTTTCACCCTGCTTTCGGCGACGAAAGCAAAGGATACTCATCTTCCAGAATACTTGGTGACCTGGGTGTGCATCATCAATTGAGTCAGAACTCCCTTTCTGAACCTGATATACCGTTTTGCTGTGTTTCTCACATCTAATCTACCTAATGCGCGGCATTCTCTCATCTGTCTTTCTCTTGGACCAATTCGCTCCCCCTTTTCGTGGACACCCGACGTGCCACGCCGCAGGTGAAGGTCTTGTTGTCCTTGCTCACCGACGAGGAGAGAAAACGGGACGTGGGTCGAGGACGAGTCGAGGTTCCCCACGAGAAAACGGGAAGACCGACAATGAGAAACACAAAACATGTGGTCTGAAGGGGCTGAAGGTGTGTCCATGTGCAGTTGTGGAGCTGTCGTTTTTTGTTTTTTTTTTTTCTGGAGCCAGTGTGAGGTCAAAAGGCACTTGCATTCCACCAAAGCCACTGAACGATCTCAACAAAATAAGCAACCTAATTGTTCTTCAATAGACGTCTCCTTTTTGGCTGGCATGTATGAGGATGCTAGTTGTGGCCAATCTATTTGCCATCCAGAGATGATTTGGTTCACACCCAGGATGAATCTTACTGATTGTGGACAATCAGGTGTGCTGAAACTCAGCGCAGTGGATCCACCGCTGGTCACCAGTCATCAGTGGGCCCAAAGACTATAAGAGTCATCATATAGAGTTACAATAGACTGAACGAGTCGCCCTGGTTCCTTATGTCGTGGCAACCTGGGATCCACTGGGCAGTTGGTTGGCCAAAAAGGAGTGAGTCCGTGCAACGGAATCGCCAGGAGATTCCGGAAGAGAGGCACATGGGGGGCCTCAGGATGTGCTCAAGGCATGGGTCGTGAGGACGCATGCGGTTCATTATATTGAGGATGACGAAGATAAACCAGCTTGGTGATTGTCTTCAGATAGATTCTTTTTTTCAGTAGATTCAGTAGATGTTGCAAGCTGGAATCACCATGAATCACCATCAAATTGAGCAGATCTCATGTGGGATGATGATGATGATGATGATGATGATGATGATGATGATGATGGCCATCACAGGTGATGTGGGCCCAAAAGAACCGATGCCACATTTTGATCTTGATGTCCGGTTCAATTCTGTTGTATCACAACGTGAGGAATGCTCCGGAGAAAGAAGCATTTTCTGGAGCATTGCAGCATTGCCCTGGCTGCGTTGAAGGGGAACCGCAGGAATTCCCAGGTAGGTGTCTACAGACCCCACGTACCGTGTCGCCCGCGTGTCAACAGCTGTCGACCTGAAAAAGGACCCCTACCGACCCGTCACCTGGGGTACTTGTGGGATAGTGTCAATAGTCTGCAGGCTCCTCAGAAGGTCTTTGGACCCCACTCCAAGCACCTTCTCAGAAGGTACGACTGGAGCTCTAGAGATTGGTAGCGATTGGTGAGCATTTAGGGCCCATGGCGGGGACACGTCATGGCGAATGACTCGTCATGGCGGTTCCTGGGGCTTCCTGACGTGGGTTCTAGTTCTTCCAATTGGAAAAGGGGGCGGGATTGGAGATTCCTGAAAAACAATCTACAACCTCCAGGACCTTCCCAGTGACCTTTTGAGATCCCAGAATGAGGTCACGAAACGGCCTTGAAAAGGTCACTTACCCATCCTGAAGAGGTCACTGGGAAGGTCCTGGCTATCTTCATTTGGACTTCTTTCAAGATCCCAAGAAGAACGAAGCCATCGAACTCTGAAACGAAGCCATCTACCCTCAGCGCCTGCGTCGGTGGCCCCCAGGAGCGACGAAGTGAAGCTCTCCGCGCGCAAGGCGCGGTTTCCCGTGGTCCGTGTGAGCGCGGGGGGTGGCGCCAGAAACGCAGGTGAACGGGCGCGGTCCCAAGGCGAAGAGGATAGATATCTATAGAGAGTACTGTATAGATAGATCGATAGTTATATAGTATCCTATAGTGAACCCTAATCATAACGGACTGTGCGATGTGTGTTTCTGTGTCGATGGGGTTTACTACAACACGTCGTACAGCTGCTCCCGTGTTTGGGCATTCTTCGATACAGCTGCGTCAATGCTGGTCAGAGATTTCGGTGAAATTGCGAGACTCGGAGACTGGTGTTGGTTTCAGAACCTCTTCTGTTCGATACCGCTCATCCAATGAATGCATCTCATCTGGGCCAGTCGTGTGTCACGAGACATCACCGCCTGGCTATTGCTCAAAGGTCGCGAAACCCGAGCCAGCAGGATGGTGGATCAATATTGCTTAGCCCAGACACTCCATGTATGCCCTAGCCTATATGCCTACATTGACCCCCAAAACCACCTCAATGTAGGCATATATGGCAGTCCCATGGAGTGTCTGGGTAGGACATACTAGGACTCATTGGGGTGTTCCGCCTTGTGGAAACACCAAGTCCATGGAGCCGTGTGGATGTTTCCCCGGGCGGCTGAGTTGTTGGTCGAAAAACACCGTTCAGTCGTTGAGTCGAACGAAGACATCCACGGAACAAAGAGCTCACTGTTGCTGAAGTTGGGTTGGTGTTCACCTCATGTTTAAATCCGGATTAGATCCGGATCCCGAAGAAACCCTTGTTTGGCTTCGCGCCTCAGCCTCTCGAGCCGAGCCGGCAGTGAGCCAGGCAGTCTTGACGATGGCCTGCGATGGGCGCGCCACCTGGATGGAGGTCCTCCAGGAGTTCCTCGAGGAAGAAGGTGCCGGCAGCAGACGGCACCGGTCCCGGTTTCGGGGGCGCCGAGGTCGGTGAGAGAAGCGCACGGTTGCGGCGAAGCCGAGAGTGGCGGAGCGGAGCGGGGTATCCGGTGATGGGAGATGCTCATGCTGTATGATGAGTATGTTTCACGTGGAATGAGATCGATGAGATTGTTTTGGGTTGGGAGAAGAGGGAGAAAGAGGGTTTCAAAAGATTCAGATGCAAGAATGGTCACAGATTTCTGGAAGAATGCTGTGTTGTTTTTTGCCGGGCAAAAAACAAGCAGACAAGGCTGCAAAGTATTTGTATATAAGAGGGCTGCTTGGTGCCACCTGAGGAGTCACTGTTTAAAGTCTAGCCACCTTCTGGGTGAGGGACACAAATAGTGTAATATTTACTAGCACCTTCAAAAGAGGTCACCAATGGATCTCCGTTGGAAACCCCGTTGAAGGTCTCAATACTATAGACATTCATGAATTTCATGGTTCCGTATTCAGTATGCCAAACTCGTGGCTCAATACCGTTGCGCCAGGTCTATCACAGCTGCTCGATTTGAGTACTCAAGCGGGCGAGGAGAGACACACTGAGCGGGGCGCGAACCTTGCCTTGGGGGTTTGGAGAGGGTTGATCAAGGATCGAATGAGCAGTTGCCTCGGCCCTTGGAACTCTGAAGGTGAGACTAATTCGGCTTCCGCCAGGATGAAGATGATGAAGTGGATGAAGACAGCGCACATCGCAACAGGGACTTTTCTCATGAATAATTTCTCTTGGCTTTATGCGCAGCTGCCAGCCTCTAGATAGCATATTGTGATGTTCTCAGATCCTGTCATCACTCGCTGCAGATTGGGGCAACACCTTGCTAAAGACCTGAGCCTATGGCATCAAGCAGATGTTCCCTTTGCAGAGCCGCCTTTAGAATTCAAGATGCAGCCGGACCATACAATGGGTGTCCAATGAAGGTCGTCCAGCCAGGACACCCAGACACGATGGTCGAGGTACAATTTGACCACCTGGAATATTGACCATATCTTGGAGAGAGCATGGGGTCTAGTGTCGAGTCAAAAAACGTGAAATCCAATGAAGTTTAGACCATCCACCCTTCTTGGAAACCGTGAATCTGTCATGTGTGTCAGTTGTCCATCTATTTAGAAACGGTTGAGCAGATCCTGAGCAGGTCAGGTGAAAGATGTGTTCTTTTGTCACACCTGGCAGGGCCAGCGCTTGGTGGTCGAGCTCTTGCTACGGGGCTTTGAAGGTGGCGCGCCCAGGTTTGGCCACGCATGTGCCAGGTTTGCTTGGTTAGAAGCTAGCACAATTAGACTGAGTGATTCAAGATAGACCCCAGAGTGTTGCGTGTATTTGCCTGGCTCCTTCCGTCCAGACACTCAGGCCGATCAGCGGTCGCACAAGTCGCCCGCACAAGTCGCACCGAACCAACAAGTCCATAGCAGTTGCTACGGATTCATGAGCCTTTGGGTGGGGCAATTCTACACATTTGGTTTGTGGGAATGAATTTGGCTCTGCGGATTGATTCGCGGTCCGAGAAATCCGCCAGTGACTCTTTGTTTTCTGGATCGGTGACCGGTGATTATCGGGAAGTTCGATTTAATCTCAGAGGTCGACACTTACCGCCCGCCCTGGGCTCCTGGCCTACCTCGCTTTCGAAGATGCTTGAGGTGGGTGGATTTGGGTAATTCTGTGCCCACCTTCTGAGAAGATGGGACAGGAGCTGTAGGGCTTGTTCTGACCACCCAACCACATGGCATTTCCCGTTCTTCGCAGCTTCGCGCAGCTTCGCGTGGCTCCTTCGTTCCCTCATCGATGCAGAGGCCCCGTGGTGCAGAAGTTTGCCGAGCCGAAGCTGGTGAACGACAGGTGAGCTGCTCAGCTGGTGTATGTTGCACGCTGTTTTGCAGGCAGAATCTGGTCCATTTTTCCACCCTCTTTGTAGGGCAGACAGAGCCTTTTCACATGTTAACTCACTAATCATCCGATGTTCCGGCTGTTGTGCTGTCTTGCTCAAGATTCTCGGTTTGATACCCCTTTTTAATAGTCCTAACAGCACCACAGTTTCAGTGCTATGTGGTGCCATGTACGGCCGACACCGCTGGAAGAGTATTCGAAGTCACTTCACAACAGCGCCGGACACACTGAGCCGATGTTGTTCCCCATGTACACCGTACCTGCGAAGGCAATCCTATCCATGACAACTCTGGAACCTCACGAGGCACTGAAGTTGCAAGGCCTGCTGGTGGAATTTGACAAGACCATGGGCAAGGCCCTGTTTGTGTCACACCAGTGGGTGGGTAGACGCCATCCAGATCCCGATTTCATCCAGTTCAGTGTGCTACAAGAAGCTTTGAGGCATCTCATGTCGGAGGTGCAATACATAGATTCCTGGATGGCTTTGTATGATTTTGCTTCTTGAAAGGGAATAAACAGTTGCAACAATTTTAGAATATCAATATAACTACACAAAATCGCGTCGACTAGACTGTTTCTGTAGACTAGAACTCCATTGACCGCATGTCGATATCAACTCATGAACTGGACGTCCGAACCGAGGTTGCTTTGCCAAGTGTGAAGCCTTTCGCTACTGCAGAGCTGAAATCGGCCCCTCTCTTTGTTTGGTATGACTACTTCTCCTGCCCACAGCTGGAGCATTTGGTTTCGCACGTTGAGAGCGGACTTATGAGTGACCTCGCCAAGGCAGTGAGCAGCATTCCGCTCTATGTGGCTGAGTGCTCATTCTTCTTTGCACTTTGCCCCGTCATCGAAAGCAAAGACCATTCCAAGTTGCTCGGTCCCCAGAGCTGGGCATCCCGAGGCTGGTGCCGCATTGAGAGGTGTTGTCGCGAGCTCTCTCCACAAGGCTCCTGGGTCATGATCCGAAGTGCCAAGCAGATGGAGTTGATCTCCTCTCCAGTAGCCACTCTAGGCTTTGGGTCACCTGGTGAAGGCCTGTTCACTGTGGAGGAAGACCGCCAGAGGCTTGGGCCGGTTGTCTTGACGACTTTGCAGCGAAAGCTGCGATTCTTGCTGCAGTCAGGAGACCTCGTGGGATACAGAGTCCTTTTGAACCATCAACCTCTTTTTCTAAGGGGTTTTCATGTGCCGGCCATGTATGACTTTGTTCCTGGCTTTGAAGCCGACCCCTTCAAAGATGGTGCCCTGACCGTGTCCAAGTTCCTCTACAACAACGGCTTCAGCAAGGTGACTGAAGTGGACAAGGTGGGTTGGACCCCATTGCATTATGCCGGTTGCCGTGGTGATCCTGACTTGGTTCGAGCCTTGCTGGCACAGCGTGCGAACCCGAATGTCAAGGCCGCGAAAGACAATGTCATGGCAGGAGCACGCTCCAAATGGAGGGTGATGACGAGTGTTGCCGCCTGCAGACATCATGAGGTCGCCCGCATTTTGATCGAGGCCAAAGCCGAACTGAGCGGGACACAGTTGGTTGGAGCATGCATCGGCAATGATCCCGAGGGAGTCCGACTCCTTTGCGAAGTGGGTGGTGTGAGCCCTCATGCCGCGGATTACGAGGGTGGATACGGAGTGCCGGCAATCCATCTTGCTTGCATGTATGGAGCCACCGCTGCGCTGGAAGAACTGGTTGCCCAAGCTGCCACACACAGCAGTGGCAGTGGCATGAGGCAGGGCAGCATTGATGTGTCCCATGCGCTTTGGCTTGCGCCTTGCTTCGGGAATTGCAGTGCGGAGCTGGTTAATACCTTGCTGGATCTGCGGGCCGATGTCAACGAGCAGTTCCATCTCAGCGTGAGAAATCCAGTGGGACTGCTGGTCAAAGTCATGGCCTTAAAGCATCGTTTTGGCAAGCAGACACACTTCAGCAGAATCAGCTTCCATGCCAACGGTGCTACTCCTTTGATGCAAGCAGTGATGGGGGGACAGTATGAAGCGGCTGCAGCTCTCATTGCCAGGGGCGCCCGTTTGGACTTGCGCAACTCGCGTCTTGGACTTGCCCAAGAAACTGAATAACATCCATCACATCCAGCATGTCATACTTGAGTTCATTTTGTACACAGTTATATAATTGTACTAAAAGTAGAGATGATTCATACATGCTATAGACAGCTACTTAACGTAACGTTCCAAAATTCTCTGGCTAGTTCAGCAAACTGCAGGCATGGCTACACTGTGGCAGACCTGGCAATGGGCCGATCGCCGCCAGCGTTTCTAGTACAAGCCTTTGAGGGGCAATTGGCCGGGTGCTTGAGAGTGGCGTCGCTGGCGGTGGGTTCGACGAACGGAGAGAATGGGGAGACAGAGGAGAACGAGAACGCGATGATTGAGGTGCATTTCTGATGGCACACAGTACCATCCTGACATGCACGTGTGCTGCGAGGTCGGTATCAGAGCTGAGTCCTGACGGAGATGTTCCCACCTCAAGCTGTCTCCCCCTCGTGATATACCCGCCCTTGCGAGATCGAGTGCCAAAAACAGTGAGCTCCAGCCCATCTGGCTTCGAACTCAGTGGTCTCACCATTTTGTTGGGATCATTTGCAGCTTATGGATTGCTTATTCCTGACAACTGTCTTGCTGCGCAGTAGGTGTTCCCCACTGGAACTCGAAGTATTTCATGGCACGCGTGTCGGAATCGAGTTGGGTCCAAGCGGTACGTGCTTGGAATTCATGCCTGAGGATCAACGGATTTGTTTGAGTTGTGAGGGTGGCTTCTTTTGATTTCTTTTGTTTGATATCCAACTGCAAGTTCCAGTCACAGCTCAATGCTGCGCAGTGGGTTGGCCCCTTTCTCAGCTGCTGTCGTGATTGTTGTCCTAACTGGAGATAAACCGCTTGAGTGTCCTTGAGTGGGAAGCAACCTCGTGGGTAAGCTTCAATCGTGATGACAGTTTTCCTGATGAAAGACTCACAAAGACTCACAATCTTATGAAGTACCAGGAGCATCCTGTCTCGGTGTCCAATGGAGACCCCTGAGTAGTGTAGGGTAGTCCAGCCAGGACACCCAGACAGGATGCTCTAGAGTCTAGAGCCAGTCGAGAGCCGCAGCTTTTCTCGAAACTATGGGTGAAGATGGGAGAACTTTGGTGTCCCAGGAAACCTGTAGAGCAGTCAGATTGAACAGGTCTTTTGAAATCACAATGTTAGTATATTTCTTAGTACTGTCGGCCTGCAACTGAACCATCATCCATTGGGCCCAGAGAATGGGATATACCCAAGGTAAATCTGATTTGGCACAATGACACAAGCTTTACCAGGAAGCGCCTCTTAAACGAGCTCTTCCTCTCCAGCCGCGCCTTCAGAGGGTGACACCACAGACGTGACACCAGCGGCATTGGGCATGCTGGTAGATGGGATCTGGTAGGGTGTGGCAGTGTCTCCAGTGATCATCACATTGATCATGCAGGCTGTGGCTCCAAACACGGGGCAACGACCGGCTGATCCACCGAAACATGAAGAGAATGGACGAATGGACTACCGACAGGAGGTGGTCAACCTCTTATAGGGTGAAACGGGCTCCAGGTTTTGACGTACAGCCATGTCATGTTGTTTCATGGTTATGGTTCTATCTCTATAATGTACTATATAACATATATAGAGATATAGAACAATACTATATTAGATAACTATATATACTATATATATAAATGGCCTTGGGACCCTCCACCAACTTCTCTGCATGTACAGGATCAGCTTCCATGATCACGTCTCACCAATCCAAATCGACCCATGAATCATGTTGAGTCTGGGGGGAGCTTGGACTGCAAACGCGACCTGTTTGGGACTGCAAATGATGGGCCAACAAAAACAAGTACCAGCACCACCCAAAAAAAGGGTGGTCAAGAGATGGAACATAGTATGGAACATAGATAGATCGTCAGGGAGGGTCTGTAAACCAACCTGTAGGTTGGTGGTAAGAACCATCAAATCTAGGCCAGATTCATCCATCTTGCCCGTCACCAACCTGTGGAACGGTCCCATCTGACACTCCAACTCCTACTACCCTCCGCCGCGCGGGCCCCGCGCACCACGCTCCAACCGGCGTCAGGTGACGCCTTTGTGCGCGGGTCGGTTGGCCGGGGCCCAGATGGCCAGACCGGGCGTGAGGAGTGCTTGGCTGGGACGATTTGGGGGGTAAATGGCCCACGGGATGGATTCTAAGTACGTAGCTGCTGTCAATCATCAGCGAGATTCAAACAAACTCCAAGAGTACTTTCGGCCAAGCGAGATGTTCCCTTGTACTTGTTGGGAACAGCGGGAACTAGACGCTGAATCAACGCAAAGAACGGATCCGTTCGATAGAGGAGAGTCCGTTGCAGGAGTTTCAGCGTTTCATTCTCGACCAGGCCCAACAGGGGTTGTGAATGGACGCCCCTGAACCTCTTGTCGCTTAACCATGCTTAACCTCATTTCAGTGCTATCAATCGACACTCCTTTAAAGGGTCCTGGCGAATGCCTGTTAGCCCGCCATTGAGAGGGAGTTGCGAATGCTTCCCTCGACCGCACCTCATGCCTTCCGCGGTGGGGTCATTTCGTCTCCAACGAGGCGTTCTCCTTGCCGCCCTGTTGACTGACGCGGAGGGCTATCGTGAGGCGGTGCGACAGATTTGGGGGCGGTGGATCTTCGGACAGGCACGGAGGGTGGCTTAGGCTGTTCTGCTGCCTTTTCTAGAATGAACTGTCGGAACATTGGGAAATATCCACAAAAACAAGATCTTTGCGGCAATAATCAATGTAAGTCTGTTAGATTGATAGAAGCCAACTGGACTGGACCACAGGAAAGATTTTACAATGCGAAGGACCGCCAGTGAGCGCATCCAAATGAAGGGTTATCAATCAATCAAACGTCTAGAAAATGGATGTCGCCCTTTGTTTGGCCCTCGGAGACAACACACGAAACACCGACGACCATGAGACACCGAAGACTCAGATCTACTCACCCCTGAAGACTTCTACAAAGGATGGTGCTTTGGGCTCCATGTCCATGTGAGTTTCAGAACACATCGCACAATATCGCACACACTCTCATTTTGGCGACAAAGATCCCCGCGCCCTAAAAAGCCCTGTGGACTTCTCCCCAGAGTAAGGTTGGACCACCCAGTGTGTTTTCGGAGGAAAAGACAGGTGGGGTGAATCTTTTCAGTTTGGTGCATTGGTTTGATCACTGCTGAGGACCGGATTGAAAACTTGTTTTATTCTAATTTGTTTGCGGATCACCTCAGAAGGATGATTCAATATCATGCATCCTCCAAGTCCTTGTGTGGTTTGGGTGCCTATGCCCATGCCCGAGCGCCAAACGATGTGGCCATGGACATAGATAGATAGATATATAATGATATAATATATATATATATATACTAGTATTGTTATATATATATATATTAATATTGGGCTATGGATTGAAGTGGCAGTGGCTTTTTGCTCGGAGGTCCAACATGCGTTTTGTGGTGTCCATACCGGCTGCATTGGTCACAGGTTGGACAGTCAGGAGCGGACCATGCTTTTTGGAGATCTCCAAAGCCCCCCGGGGCCCACGGCCCACGGCCCTGGAAGATCATGATTCCCAACTACCCCATCCTTAGACATCCGAAAAGGACTTTGTTTTTGTCGCATCAGAGTTGGACTCGGAAAGGCCCGGAAGATGACATTGACTGCACAAGCTCAGCCGGCTGAACAGGCTGCACAGGCTGAAGCTGGCCTCGCAGCCTTGCGGGAGGCACTGAATTGTGCTGCACATGTCGTCTCATGCTGTCTTATTTGGCACTGAACATGATGTGAAGGGGTGAAAAACAGCAACAGATGGCATCAGATGGGTGGATTGCCGACTTGTTCTTACAAGATCCAGTTGGTTTCAACGCGTTTCACACTGTTAGACATATGCGACTCTTGTGTAGTTGACCCTTGAGACCTCTGATATATAGGATATAGTCCTAAGACTTGGAGATGTTTTATGGATGTGTGAGGCATGATGAAACTCACGTCCAAGTCCCAGAAACACATCAAAGCGGCGTTTTTGGGCCGGGTTATCCTCCTTTTGAAGAGTTCTTCACCCTGGTGGCCTTTCTTCAGGAGATGCTACGGCCGCCCGGACGCCCGGGCCGGACCTCATGGAGTAGGTAGGGAGGATTAGGGAGGTAGGTCTGTGAAGCCCAAACACATGGGCTTGCCTTGGGATTGGAGCTGCTATGCCCGAAATACTTCATGTATAGCATTTGACCTTTTTGTTCAACCAACCAGGCCCAATGTAGGTGCCAGTCCCATGGGTCGTTTCTGGCGTATGCCAGCATTCCACGCAGGGGGGCCCTTCTTGCAAGCTCCTAAGTAGTGGTGGTTAGACCCCCCCCGCACAACCATCCCAAACCATCTTCGAAATGGGGTAGTTGGAGCCCTACTAGGGATCAATAGACAGATAAAGGAATCCTCATATTCGTAAAGATTCTCACCAGATTCTGGCATCCACAGATGTCAGAAACCACATTCTAGGTGGTGTGGTTTTGGCATGATGAGTCTGCCTGTCATGTGACTCTACCTCTACTTGAGATGATTGAACTCACAAAGTATCTCACTTGAACTCACGAAGTATCTCATGTTTTTTTTTTCTGAGTTGAAACCACCAATGCAACATTCAATAACATGCATTCTTGTTGGGGTGCCAATTGGCCGGTCGTTTTTCCGTTGACTCCACGATGTCAGCCCCGAGGCCGGCGAGTTTGACGGTGGACTTGCAGCGGCTCTTGACGGAGGTCCGGGCGGGGAAAACGAAGCAACGGAGCAACGGAGCTAGCAGACCAAGCAAGGTGCACCAGCATCGTTGGAGCTGGAGGGAACATGGAGGACAGTCTCAATGACAGACATATAAGATAATATAAGTTTATACACTAGCAACCGACTTCACAGGTCACCACCGTGCCACTTTTGAGTCTGCGAAAGTCACCAGAGGAGACCTGATGGAAGGTATTGATATACATGATGTACATGCATTAATAATTAATTGACATCGTCATCGTCCACCGATTCCTTCTTTATTTCTCCCCCATGCTTTTCAATTCAAGACTTAGGCTGTGTATAGCGCGACTTACCAAACATCGGCTACCCAGTCCAACATGCCAGTCCGAATTGGGGGATTGCACACGGGGAGAACATCGAGAAGAAGACCACGAGACAGCGCAGCGACTGAGTCCGGACCGAGTCTCGACTCGTTAGCACTCGAGTGGAGACGACTGACGGTGCGACCTCGTCACGCCGCGCCACAGGAGGAGTCTTGGCGCTTCCTGTTGCGTCTCGCGCAATGCCATTCCTCCGGACAGGCGCCGGTTGTCCATGCCGCGTCGTGAAGTTTCTGTTTAGTGAAGTTGTGCGGGGATGTGGAGTCGGATGCTTCGTTGTTCCAATGACATAACATGCAGATTACCCCACCTCTTCAGAGAGGTTCCTCACTTTGCTGGAGAAGGACTTCAAAAGAAGCTCGAGGAGCTACGATCTGAATCTGTTGATAGTGGATTGAGAGTAGATGGCGCAATCCCCCAAAGGTGGTTTATATGGATCCCCATCTAGAAGACATCTTGGGGTTTGTGCCATCTACTCTGAAACCACTGCAATTTGTTTGGTGGCTAGTGCTACACCTGCTAGGTTGAGTTGATGGAGGATGGGGCGCAAGAGAGCTTTTGTTGAATTGGGAAAGTTGAACACAAGAGACATAGAGACAAATATGTGACTTAAGGAGTCGAAGAAACTTTAAAACATGTAACCCACAATTTGGATTCCTTGTTTACGTTTAACACAATTGCAGTAGTTCAATTAATATATATATATATATTATTATATGTGCACATCGGCGATGGTTGAGATGTCCTCGGAAGTTTTAGCATCAAAAGTTGAGAGCAAAAAACGTTTAATTCGTAAAACAGATCTTACACTTCGAAGCGAATATCAAACATGATGTTGATATTCTGTTCTTTTATTGTGCAGATAGATACAGTATTACAGTATTACTGTTGCAACAACCTTCCAGTTTGTGATTACGACAGTTGTATACTTAGATACATGGGGCAATACGAGAGGTATCTACGATTTTTTTAGACAATGAAATTTGGACATGCATTTTTATTTTTTCTAAATCTAGACACAAAGATAGATAGATAGCATAGGATCGGACAGGGTAAGGATTTTTTTTTGTGTAGGATCGGGGGCAAGTCCGAAGTCCGAGCAAACACAGAAAACACATCCCATTTCTTATACCTCGCAGGAGGTCTCGCTCTTCCACAGCGAAGCACGACCCATCGCCCCTCCCAATCGGGAGCATGTGAGGCCAGCAACTTTGTTTTATTGATGATGCTGGCCCTAGTTGCTTGGATGAAGCTTGCGCATATGCTTTAGATGAATGGCGTGAATGGTGGAGAAAGAAGTGGGATGCTGGTATGACAGATTCTAGTCTATATGACTATATTTATTACTTATAATGTTGGACCGTGCAAGATGTGTTCAACATCCACTTCTAGAGCATGCCTCTTAGGTTGGACTAAACATTAGATCGACCCACAGTGAGGGACCCGCCTAAAGTAGGTCGAAGCGAAGAAGACCCGCCAGCCCATTGGATCAAGGAACTATCCGTTTCGATACGGACCTTTTTGGCATCCTACGTGCCATAAAAGCCTGGCTCCACACACCTGTAAAATTACAATTGTTCAATACAGAGGGCACCAGTGTTGCATTCCTCGCAGTTCAGACCCCTGACAAATTTACATGTTCAACCAAGCACCTGCTCCACTGCGGAACATTAGGTGTGCCGGAGGGTCCAAGGTAGAGTCCTGTTCTCCTTCCACCCCACCATACTTGGCCCGACGGTTCAACAAAAGATCGGATGTTGGTTGGTGATTGGTAGTTTTGGTGGAGTCTGCTGGATGGTTGCATAGTTCTCTAACTTTAGCAGGTCTTGCCTTCTTTACCATGCCCATGGAAAGCACATGGAAAGCATGCACATCCCCTGCATCCTGCATCTCCCTGGCGTTCTGACATGTTCTGACTCTACCTACCGAGGCTTCAGGGCCTCAAACCCTCCTGGAGACCCCAGGTGCGACATCCACGAACGACCTCGCGTTGGTGTCACGGAGATGGACAAGAAGTTGGTAGGGTGGTCAAACCGGGGCCATGGCAGAAACTGATTTGGATGGTCAGAGATTTATTGTTTTTCTCACTTGCAAAGCGATGTTCCAGAGGTGAGTCACCTGTGCAAAAGCCTCCAGTTTCAGGCCAAGACGATGGGTTTTGCCCAGCGAACCCCTTCGTTTTCTTCTTCGTGGCCCGACCGTGCACGACGCGACGCGACGCGACGCGACATGAGCAGGACTCCATGAGTTGCTGGTGCACCGCCTGACAGATCGCCAAGATTCGCAGGCACGATCTGTACCGCCAGGTTCAGCGGTCGGAACCGCAGGTGGAACCTATTGATACGTTCTCGGTCGGGGTGGGGCGGAGGTCGGTGCCGGTTGGCCCAGGCACGGATTTGGTGGCTGCAAGGCCCCATTTGATCGGGGGATCTGCATTTTTCCAGGCGCCAACCTTTCAAAGAGTGACCATGGCTCCATCGGGCCCAGCCCCTCCTACTCATCAGCTGGGCTTGAAACTGTGTCGAGTTTCCAGATTTGAGTGAGCACTGCCTGTACGTCTTGGTTCTGTTCTTTTTTCTAGTGTGCAATCGCGTCGTCTATTGCAGTTCTTCCCATGCGAAAGACATACCCATTGCAATCTGCTCCGCCAGTTACGTGGTCTGGCCGCGAAGCGGCTTCTGGAGCTCTACCGCGTTGAGTTGCCTCCAGGATGGGTGAAGACGACCGGGAGTTGAGGGGCCCTCTAAGGCGGTCCATCAACGCGCCATTGAGAGGTCCATGAATTGGAAGCAAAGGAATGATTTGGAAGTTCAAACCGTTGGGATGATAGGGAAGTGTCAAGGTCGCTGTGGAGCAATATGAAAGCAAGGCATCTTGGAAAGTCAGACTTCTTAACTAGTCCAGTGGACCAAGTACTTAAACCACATGTCAACATATGTCAACCACACTGTCAACCGCCATTGTTCAAGGCCCATAGTTTCATCCTAAATCCTCCCCCTGAAACAATGATGGAAGTGGACTACTTCCATGTGAGGTGTTCGTCAGACGGTAAGTCTTTTGAACCGCATGACGCCAGGGGCGGCTGAGAGTGACTTGTTGGGCCGTGCTGTGGCCTCCAGTGCCATGGAGGCATCCGGAAGACGATAGGGCCCGATATAGGGGCTTCTGAAGTCCGTTGGAATATGCAAACATCGTCAATGTCTAAAATGATGCAAGGACAACAAAGGATAAGAACACATCCGAAGACCCTGGATGGTTGAAATCGGCTGAAACGGCATAAGACATGCAATTAAGGCATTTCCCCCTAGTTCCTTGTAGTCATCTTCCCGTGCGCAAGAAATTGAGCGGAACACACTCGCTGTTGGCATGGACGTTGGGTTGGATGGCACGGTTTCTCATCGCCGAATCGGCCACTTTCAGGATGACCATGTTCCATCCCAATGAAAAAACAGGTGGTTTTCATTGGTTTTCACTCCACGTTCATTCCACTGTCCTGATTTCAGGGAATCCTCCTCTTTTTTTTGTTGCAGGCTTTGATGCTTCATGAGGCCGAGCTTCAAGAGCTCACGGCAGGCAGAGTGGAGCGCATGGGACGCGCTGGAAGGAAGGAGAAGACCCCGAACCACCCAATGTGGGCATAGTTGCAGTCCCCATGTTGCCCTTTGATATGCTTTTAAATGGTTGCCTCTCCCTCCATCCCGTTCGCTTAAGGACTCAAGACGCGAGTCACGTCGCCCTTCACCGCCGCGAGTGATGCGTGAACAATCGCTGGCGAAGTGTGTTTGGGGGACTCGACCATGAGCCCGGTAGCTATGATGTCTTGCTTTGGACGAAGCCACAAGCTGGTAGCTGGACTAGCGACATGACACCTGGTCGGGACTCGGGGATTGGGACTTACTTATTGAGATTGGTTACCCTTTATAGGTCATTCACTGCACTTTAAGGGTTTGAGAGGATTGCTGAAGGTAGATGATCCAGCCGCGTCCGTCCTTCATCGCCGACGTTGCACGCCGTGGATCCCAGCTGAAGCAAACACCAAGCATGACAAAATCATCAGACCATCGAGCATCCCGCAGGTGCAAATGAAGCCTTGGAAAGACATCACTTGGCCACTCGCCTGGCTACGGCATGCGTTTTGGATCTGCTAGAGGTCCAGATCCAGCGATTGTAAAGCTGTTGAGCCAGACATTTGTCCAGCCCTGGTTGGTAAGGTATGTCGGGTAAAATGCAAACCACCAGCATGTAGAGGCCAGCAGTCTTCATGGACACGTTGTCCATTACTGCGAGTTGGAGCGCAGTGTAGTGGTTCCTGTTGAATCCTTTACGTTTCGTTTTCCTACTCACTGTCATTGCGAGAGGTTTGCACCCACTGGTGCTTGAAGTGCTTAGCCACCTCAAGTGTGTAGCTTGGTTCCATTACGATCAAAGCCAAGAGTGAAGGGTCTCCCAAGAACGCTTCCTTTAGCCTCCGTTCCAGGTGCTTGCAGACTCTTGTGTCGTATTGTTGTTCTGGGCACGAAGCATGTCATAACATGTCATGTCGCCAGGTCTCCCGACTGGAAGCTTGCTTGTCCTCGGGCATCCAGAGTCTTTTAGTCGCATCCAGAGTGGGGCGTGGATGGAGTGGAGAGACATAGATGGAGACTTTGGTTGGAACAAGTCACCGCTGGAAGTGATGTTTTCAGCCGGGCTTCACTGCCTCTTGAGGCCGAGCCATGCAAGTTGATTTGATTGAACTGAGATTCGTCAGGTTGAACATCTATACAAGCCAAAAAAGTGTTTTCCATCTAGAGTGAGAATTTGTGTGGCAATCACCTCACCAAGTAGATTCTTCCCGTGGTTCAGGCAGGCTCAAGAAATCTAGCAGTAGTTGCAGATCTTCCCTGCCCAGCACCCGCCGAACACCGCAGCGAAGCAGCACCTGCCGCCCGAGATGCGCTCCTCCCTCGCTCGCCTGGCACCTGCCGTCGCTCGCTTGCGCGTGGAGGGCCGTCGAAGCAGCTCCTGGCAACTCGGGGCAGCTTGGCGCTGACTGAGCTGCGTGCGGCGTTCAGCAAACACGCCTTGAAGAATTCCTAGTCCTTGATCGCATAATGTCACACAGGCCAGAATAGGAGAAGTCGCTAGATATCCTGCAGCAGGTCCATGCTTTAGACAAGCACTGATATCCAGCCATGCTGCATAAGGGTTTGGGTGAAATCTTCATTTCTGGAAACGGCGAACGTCTTCGTTTTGGAGGGTCAAAGGCCAAATCCAACCCTGCGGGTCATGTTTTCCCAGTGGCATCGAAGCACTCCTATGGTGAGAAAGTTGTTTTCCTTTGCGACTCAGGCTGGCGCCTTGGCCGGCAGCGCCATTGGCGCGGCCGCCCTGTGCGAGAGCAAGACGACCTTGGGATCTCCGGTGGCGACAAATCGTGACGTGGAATGTCGGGATGGTTTTCGCTGTTGATCCCAAAAGGACAGTTATTTGCACCAACTGGGCCGGGCCCGGAATTGGTGCAATTGGTGACTCCGTTACCCTCCCGCACCACGTTTCGACCCCCAAAACCACGTGTGTTGGTCTTCGGCACATGGTCGAAACCACGTGAATTCGGTCTTGGCTCCGTGGGATCGTCTGCAGGGAGACCCAATGAGGGAAACAAGGACCGCAGGGGTTCCTGGAAATGGCTGAGTTGGCCTTCTAGGGTCCTAGGGTCCTAGGGCTTACTGTAACTTTTCTAGGCCTCTTGGGTCTCGTGGGTGATGAGTGGATGATCAACTGAGTTTTCCTGAGTTGACCTACTTGGCCCAAGTCACAGAGGGTGATGAGGGGTGGGACATGGTTTTTTAGAAAACCACCGGTGTGTCAGGTACAAAGACAGATGGTAAACCATGGAAAACCACATAAACATGTCATTGGTTTGGAACATGTTGGAAGCCTCTTCACATAACAGGATGCCAAGGGCAGGTGACCAAACAGACGGAAGGGCGCCGTCACATGGTGGTTCTTACGGAGTCGGAGACGGCCCGGATGTCAGTCCCCCGGGTGTCAAGGTCCTGCAAGTCCCCGAGGGGCGGGTCCTTCAAGGTGAGGTCCCCAGGGACCAGGACCTCCGGATCATTGGCTTGGAGGAGCTTCGGGCCCACAACAACATGGACGACGGCCACTCGGGTCGGTTTGGGTGGTGTCCTGCGTGACGTTGATCTTGGTTTGGTTTAGTCTGTTTGCGTCGGCGTTTTCATTCTAATAGGCCGATAGACCTTGTTTTGCTCAGGTGTGTGCCGGAATGATTGGGTAGTAAAACAAACACCTTTTGGAAAAACATGATAAAACACATTCAAAACACCTTTGGTTTTGGGATGTTTTTGGTCTTTGACCCGTCGGGCTGGCTGAAGGGCAATTGCCGGATCAGACCCCCTAGACAATTGAGACCAGGGCGAGATCACATCGCTACTACGCTTGGACCAGCAACATAAATATGTTTGTGGGTGAACACCTGGGGACCACGGTTGACCTTCGAAAGTGTACAGAATAGATGACCAATCAGGTCAACTAGCACGGCAGACCTAAGGGGCCTAGGGGTTGGAACTCCAGGTTTGGGATCCACAGCCATCCCATATTTCTTGTTCACCAAACCCAAAACCCCCCCGAACCGCCGCGAGGTTTGTGGATCTCGTACCACGGCCACGTCTATGACGTGACCCACTTCGCGCGGATCCATCCGGGTGGCCCGGGACGCATCCAAATGGCCGGTGGAAGTGACCTACAGAAGTACTTTGATGCTTGGACATCGAGAGAGGAGTTGAGTGGGTGTGGAGCATCCTGATGCATTCTGGATGGGATGAAGGATCAAATCTAGCACAGATTTCCGCTCAACCTCAGATAAAGAGGGATAGATATACCAGGACCATCCAGGACCCTCCATGGGGTGTCTATTTACCCCTGCGGATTGTTCCGCCAGCCCTTTTGGCTGAGCGGAGGGGGGGGAGGGGGGGGGAAGTTAGACTTGTCAAAAATCCGCGCCGTGGGTACAATTAGACTAAAGACAAAACTACTACTAGGATAGCATACAAACCAATCACCTAAAACACGCCGCGCCCAAGGGCCGGCGGATTTATAGCCCCTTAGCAGGACCCTCCATGGGATGTCTATTTATATACTGTATGTATATATATATATATATACGTGTATGGGGCCTCAAATCACAGCGGAGACCTGACGCACTCTAGAGAACTCCATGACACCCTTTACATCAAGATCCTTTTAAGTCGGATCAACATGAAGGTGGGTCAGACAACCTCATGCGCCCTGCACTCCTGCAAATGATCACATGCTCACACAAAACTTGCCAAACTAGCCTTCGATCCAAACCCTCCAGTTTCTGGCGAATCGACCTTGGTCGGACCACAGACCTCCAAGCGAATCTGGTGGTGCAACTTCGAATCAGCGCCCTTTCTCGCGAGTCGACGATTCAGGACGTCTACCATGTTCATCCTGATGTGAGCAAGTTTCTGGACCGGACCTGCTTGCTTGGCCGTCTCACTGCCGCAGATGCCAAGAGATCGTCGCCTGACCGATCCGCGAAGCGAGTCGCGACGGTCGCGTCGCGACCAGCGAAGCGAAGGTCGCGTGACCCACCTGGTGTTTGCCTCGCGCGCGTGCGCAGGGGTAAGTGAGACCTTAGTTGTTCAGGAGGTGGGTGTGGTTTGTTCCACCAAAGAGGCAAGGGATTGGTTTGGGGCACTCCATTTTGAGAGACTCATTTGCGGGCTTGACATTGAATTTGGATTGACAACAACCGTTTGCCAAAGTTTACAGGAGTTTAAACCCAACCTTAAGGTATTTATTTCGTTTCCGGAACATTCCAGAACGATCCCTTCATCATCTCTTTCAGCGCGGCTGCCGGGACGTTGTTGCTTTTCCGGCCTAAGAGAAGAAAGGTACGAGGAGACGATCTTCGGAAATCCCTACGAGGATGAGCCTCCACGAGACCTGCAGCAGACCATTGCCAAAGCACCGCGCTGGGCCAATCTCATGGGTCCATACCTGTTGGACTCCTTCCGAACCCTGGTTTTGGTTCATTGCGAGCTGTTTGGTTTGCGGAAGATGCTTCTTGATTTAGTCATTGACTCCCGTGAAACGTTGGTGCCTTTTTTTTGCATTTGAGTTGTTTCCCGCAAACTGCTGGGAACCGCAAATCCCAGGAACGCCGCTGCGAGGCTTCTATGTGAGAAATCACTTCCCAGTGCCTAGCTGGGAGGATGTGGAGAACGACTATGAGTTTGAGGCGTACGTGTTTTACGAAAAGGGCCGGATGATGATGAGGGTTGATGTTAGATTGGAAAACGATGCTAAGACCCAACAGGTCATTCCAGTGCTTGGAGATGCTTCATCAGTCATGATGTTGCTGTTGCTGAGTGGAAACTCATCAGATTAAAGTAGAGAGACATGCAGTATCACCTCCCATGAAGCCCTTGTATAAGTTCAAAAAAGACACGTCGATGAAATCACCTGAGCCAAAACATGATGTCGGGGGATCCCAAATATTGAGATGAACCCATGAAACATATCCACCTGTAGCCTTTCATAAGGGTGCCACATGCTGGACGTAGAGCCAGCATTGAAAGCAGCTTCCTGCTTTCAGCGGATTTTGGATATTTGGTTGAAATGGTCACTAGATAGACAAAGTATGTCGCAAAATATGCCGTATAATTCAATTGATGAGAACTGAACAGCAGTATCATGCTCACTCCCCTACTTGATCGTTGAGGTCCTTTTGGAGGTTCGTCTGGCAGGTGTGGTTGCGATGCTGCCAGGTCTCTGTCCCCGGTGCTACACGCAGCTTCAAGTTGAAGGACTTGAGAGCTTTGCCACAAGCTACAGTGGAGGCCACGCTGATCTGCGGTGGCGCTGCATTGTACCCAAGGTGGGCAAACGGGCGCCATCAAAAACACAACGAGAACACCCAGCACCACCCAGTTTGGGTGGTTCATAGACCCCCCTGCATCCCAAGCATGTTCCATCCTGGTCAACCTGCTGGTCATGGAAGTTCCAATCCAGATCCTTCCCATTTCCTCAGCAGCTTCTGGACCACGCCCTTCCATGGAAGACCAGCCCTTCCATCGCGCTGAGTCCTCGATCGCGTGACCGCCGACCGGATCGGGTCGCCTTCGTCGGGTCGTCCGGTGGGGGTGGGTCGCGGCGCAGGTATTTACACCGAACGGAGAACCGGGAAAGCTGGGAACAGAAGGAGTTCCCGCGGCACGAAGCTCAGAGCGGTTCGATCTGCAGTCGTTTCCCAAAGAGAGGGACGGGGGCTGTGAGGTCTGGCGGTGAGGTCAGGCCACAACAGGGAGAATGTCGTGGAGATCTGTGGACTGGATTAACCATGATTAACCACTTCACCACCATTAATTTGCCCATATTTAAGAGGTTTCTACAGTTTAGTATTTCAATCAATCATGAGTCTAGATTTTGAGGGCACACGTTTCATAACCCTCTAAGATCAGACACTCCGGGTTCATCGGGCAGACGATCCAGTTCGGGTCTGTTCGGGACTGAAACTCAGTTCCCGGACACCTTCACGTTCACGTCCCGTCCACGGACACGTTCACGTCCCCGACCTGAGTCAGGAAGTGAACAACAACTTTTGGGGCAGCCATGCCGTTTGGACTGGCGTGAAGTGTCGCGATGTTCTGCGGCTGTGCGGTCTAGACGTGGATGCCCTGGCACTGGGCGAGAAGCCCATGCCTGCCAAGTATTTGCGCTTGACAGGTGCTGAGGGAGTTGGACGTGACTGAGTGGAGCTGCGTGGTTGCCAAGAACTTCACTCCTTTAAATTTATCAACATGATTTAAACACAACCTGATTGAGAGAGTAATGGAGAGGTTTTAATGGTTGGTTATACCTTGGCTGCCAGCCGATTCAGCTTTTCATGTACGCATGACAAAAATACCTTTAGGGTATTTTAGGGTGGATTAAATTCAAGTCTTTGAGCCGCAATCCTCAGCTTGAATCAAGGCCCTGTACAAACCTCCAGAAACTCTGGACCTGCAAGCAATCCAGCACCAGCTCCTTCAGTTCGCCGAACAAAGATCTGGGATCTCATCCGGGTTGCCCTTGGAAGAACCTGCACGGAACGTTTTTGAGAACGGACGAGTTCAAGTCAGGCTGTGCTGGTTCAGTTCTTCCACAGCGAAACTAGGAAACCTGGAGGATTCAAAAGAGGTGGAAGATTGCCTGAGGATGCTTCCGTGGTCTTCATAGGAACACGGAGTCCTACACTCCCCGAAATATTTATGGAAGTGGGGGGCCGCCTGTTTGCAGAGAAAACTGATTATACACGGGGATGTGTAATAGCAAGAACAATGAATTAATATCGACCATTTTGGACCATTTCAGGTCACCCCCTGTGACGAGTTTCGTGCCCAGAAAAATTGGATCCGCAAAACACATATGACCCACAAGTTAGGGTCCAATTTGCCATTAAGCGCGGTGAGGTATTTCGTTGAAGAAGCGTTTCAACTTGAGCACGGTTTCGAGTTTCACCTCCCTGAACATCCATCCGACTCCCTTTCCACATGCCGCCCGCGCGCCAGGGCACGATGCCGACGAGACGGGCGCCAGTTTCGGAGTGACGATTCCCTTGGAAAAGGCTATCGATCCCTTTGGCGATGTACTGCTGGCCACTACCATGAGACTTGGTTTTGGGGCAGAAATCAGGAGGTGTCGTTGGTCAGGATGCTTTGTGGTTTCGGGGCTGGGCACAGGACGCGGCGCATCGGGTAGTCAGCACGCAGCATGGCTATGAAGTCGCTGCGGTGCCATGGCCATGCTGCGGTTTGTCGTGGCCCTACGGTGTGAACGTGCGCCGAAGTGTGGCACTTAAAACATAAGATAGACATCAATCAAGATAACCCGTTGTTCTGCCCGTCAAATAGCTGCTAGCAGCTGCTAGCAGCTGCTAGCAATCTAAACACCACAGGTGTTTGTAAATAGGATTTGTTTCTTGCATGCTTTCTCATCCGTTATACCTAATTATAATCCTACTCCTACTGCGCTTTGGGGCCATGCTGTCGTTTGCGGATCCAACTAACAGGCCTATCTTGTGTGGCAACTGCTGGACGGTAAATTTGATATTGTTGCATGGACCAGCTTCTAAAGGAGAGTCACATATTGGAAGAAAAGGCTTCCAATTTATAACAACTTATGTCCTGCGTGTCCTGGTCGTGTCCTGGTCGTGTGCTACAGGTACGGTGTTCTTTGTGGTTTGCAATATATCAAGTAGCAACGGCTAGTTTTCACAATCAATGTCGACAAACACATGGACTGACACTTGTGTGACTTGTGCGTACCTAGTACCAGACTTGTCAATCAGTTTGTTAATAAGTACAAATTGCAACACCATGCCTCTTGTTATGGCATGGTCTCCCACTCTCCCAGGAATGGCTCCACCCTCCCTGCAGACCACGGCTACCCCGTGCGGGTCTTGGTACCGGGCTTCGCCGGGGTGCGGAACTGCAAGTGGCTGGCGAAGATGGAGCTGTCGGACGAGCGGCTGGTCGGAGGAGCGTTGAGAAGGAACCGGGAGAAGGAACCGGGCCGGGCGGCCAACGAACGGTGATTCCGCAAAGAAACACCATATAAGCTAGCTGCATCCTCCCAGGTTGCATGGTTCAGGGGGGTGTCAAACGCATGGACATTCATTGTGAACCAAGTCGTGGTTTGCACTATGGACTGTTACGATCTTGGAGTGTTTGAAACAGGTGTGATTTGTGTGTGTGTGTGCAGAACACGTTGGGCGGTTTCTTTGTGGGCGTGGACACATGGCCAGGGACAGGCATGTCTCCGGGGGACGGAGACATGGACTCGGACTGCTGTTGCGTGCCATCGTTTTGTGTTCAAGTTGCAGAGTGATAGGACCCGCGTGAGTCGTCCATGAGTCGTCCATCATTTGAATACACCAACCTGCTGGGCCGGCCATGAGTGGGGCCACCAGAAAAGGTGGCTGTTTTGCTTGCTTCTCCCGATGACGGATGTCACGCGCTTTGAAACGCGTGACATCAAGAAACACCCCCCCTCTTCGGTTCGCTGGTGCACACCGCATGAGTCTACGCCGTCTACGCCTTGTTGCGCCGACTGGGTACACCTTCCGTGCCAGTTGGGAGTCAATGTGCATTTTGGGTGCGCGGGGTGGCGAACCAGGCTCCACAGCAGCCACGTGGACACTCACACAGATGAGGCGTGGTGCGGAGGTGTCCCATACGATCAAGTTTGCGTGGTGCGAGGGTCACAGTATAGGGAAGAAATTACTGTTGTTGGGTTGATGTTTGTTATTCAAAGAGAGTTTTTGCATTGGGGGTTGGGGGAGTCATTGGGTGGTACTGTAGTATGCCATAGACGAAGAGTGACTTTTGGAGTCACAAGTCATGGTATAGAGCTGTGTTTGTTTTGGCTCAGGCGTTCTCCGGGGAGTTTGGCCGGGAACTTGCATAGCCAAGCCAATGCATATGAATTTGGATGCTAGCACCAGTCTGGCGTGTGTTTTTGATCCATTGCCTCAAAGAATTCCTCATGACCCGGGTGTGACCGTGACCTCCCAACATTACCTAATTAGGGCTCCTGGCCTACCTCCGTTTCGAAGATGGTTGGGGTGGGCGCCAGAGGGGTCTAACATGGTCTAACTACCACTTTCTGAGGATATGGGACAGGAGCCCTACCAACAGCTGCCTCTGCGAATGGGTTTTGCATGGTTTTGTTCCTTCTGGTTTTCACCCACTTTGTGAGCCGAGGATATTGCCCGTTGTTCCGGTTTCCCGCTGCAGGTGATTTATCCTCCCAACATGAACTTCGAGGATCACGTCGCCAAGGCCTCTTTCACCGGTCAGGCTGTGAAGCGCGTGGCTCGGCCAATGGAATAAGAGTACGAATGGGTGGCCAAAATCAGGTCCAGTTGCCAGGAGATCTATCTTTCTGAAGTTTTTTTAATTCCAATTCTTAGGCAAGGAGTTCATGGAAGAGTCGCCATGTGTCACCAGTAGCACCAGCTTCGATGTTCCTGCTTGCTGGTGTTGCTTTCCCTAAGCCCCTAAGCCCCTAAGCCCTAAGTCTCGGTGGATCGAGCATTGACCCAAGGTTTCTCCTTTGTCCTTTGCTTCGCTGGAGAATCGATTGGTAGAACCAAAGCTCAGCAAGAACCGAACACTTGACCAAAGGACCCAGTCGCCAGTGCTAACATGTTTCAGGTCCCAAAAACCCAATGAGCCTTTTGCCGCAGTGGGCAGTGGTAGAAAATAGGCTACTGGTAGACCATTTGCTCTACCAACTGGCTTTCCACTGCCATGTGAATGACTCGGGCAGTAGCACTCAGACTTCAAGAGTTGTGCGAACCTCGGGTTCTCCACCCGTGCGAACTCTGCATGGTGACTCAGGCGGGTCGCTGGGAAGGAGACCAAGACAATGAGGTGTTCAGAGTGATGGAGTCTCGACAAAGGGGGGGGGGGTTGGCATCCCGACAGTGGAAGGATAATTGGAAGGACATGGGCCGCCACTGACCGGGGAGGATGTGTCAAATCCTATGTGGAGACCGGAGTTCAGAGCATGCCCTCCTTGTTGAGGAACCTGTAAAACGGGGTCAAGGCGATCGTTTGGGGTTTCAATCATGGTCGATGGCACAGGCTACAGCGTTCCTTTCAGGATTGGGGGACTCGGGGGACCTCAAGCTTTTGGTGTTTTGCGAGAAGATCATGATCTGAGACTGAGACTTCCATCATGATCAGCTAAAAAAGTACAAGAACATTATATGAGTGCAAAAGATAAACTAAGCATGACTCTAGGACCCTCCAACAGGTCACCACATGCGACTATGTTCAAAAACATCCATTTCGGAGACCTGCTGGAAGGTGCTGGTTTATAAAAGAATATTAAATATAAAATTTATATAAAACAATGTCTTTGGGCTGACCATTACCTTGATTTCTGCCGACTGTGAGACAGCTTTTCTCCCTAGGAGATGCCAGTGCATAGCAGCGTGCTCGTCCCGGAGCTACACAGCGTCGTTGGGAAAGAGGCCATCGCCGAGGCAGAGACCTGACCCCCGCTGGGGCGGTGGCAAGCTGTTGACCCTCCATAGAAGGGGTCGACCCTCTACAACAGGGGTTTGTACCCTCAAGACCCTTGTTTTGAGGGTCCGGGTTCTTAGGGTTGCAAACCTGGTACCGTCGCCTTTTCTCTTCAGTACTTCTGTGTTATTCTCTGGGTGGGGGCATGTGGATGCCTCGAAAGCCGATTGGTTGCTAGTCGTTCTTGGACCAATTTGGACCAAAATCGTTGCGGGCCACGGGACATTTGCCAAATAGGTGACACGCCCCACTCAGGCTGCGCTTCCTACCCAGTAAAAGTGGATATCCTTGAACCTTCTTTTTGAGGATTGGTTGGTTTTCCACTAAACAAGAACAGGTAGAAGCTAGCTTAACCATTGATTTCCAGGAAAACTGAGGGGTCTTAAGACGTTGCTCCTCCAAAACTGCATGTCAAATTCCGCAAAAAGCAGATGAGGGTTCCCAACAGTCGACCAATGGTTTCTTTTGTTTGATTGACCTTTCTGGTCTCTATAGTGTAGGCCTCACACCAAAGTCCTCCAGGAGACACGCGTTCAACACAATTTGGATCATGTCCAAACCTATGAAAAGCCTGAATACATGTTTTTATTGTTATATACGTTTTCAGTAAAATGATGTCAAGCTGACCTGTAGGGCTTGTTTAAGGTGGCATGATGGTCCGGAACCTCCCATACCTACCCAGTCCCATCCCCAAACCATCCATGGGACTGGGCAAAAAAACAGGCCACCCCATTGACTCCAGGTCAACCACCTCAATTGATTCAACATAAATAGGTCACTCCCATGGATGGTCATGTTGACGTTACATTGGAAAACGATTGCGGCGCTGTGCTGTCGTATGAATTTTCCTCATACTGGGTGGAGACTTCCTCTCCATCCAGCTCCTCTCCTCTCCGGTGCCTCGCCACCGTCCCTTTTGGTCCAACGGCCGCGTAAAGCCTTCGCATTCGTGCGGGTCACCCGCCTTCGTGTTCGTTCAGGTTCTGAAGGAGGGCCTTGAGGTGAAGGGCATTGCGCTGGGGGGCGGAGGGCACCGCATCGCTCGTGTGGATGTGTCCATCGACGGCGGGAAGAGCTACATCCCAGCAGATCTGGACGATCACGGCGACTTGGACGTTCCCCTGGTTTTTCAGGGCGGCAAGGCTCAAGACCAGCGGATCAGCGGATGCCCATATGCAGTTGTTTAAATATATAAGAAGTTGTGTTTGGAACATTTTGGAGAGTTGAAAAGGACATGAATGGACAAAGTGACAAGGTATTTTTGTTAGGGTTTGCTCAGTTTGCTCAGACCCCCGCCAAACACACACACATACCGATACCCAAAGACACGGCCAATTTGGTCGCTCACAATACAGTTTGATACAGTTTGCAAGCTGCTTCATTGCTGGACCCGTGTAGCAAAGTCAGATGAGGGCATCGCGTGGTTTTGTGGATGGCACGATCTAGAAGACTGCAGCTTCTGACTTGATTTTGCGAATTGAATTGGAAGTGGAAAACCTCCTGTTTGTACGAGGCAGTTTTTTCAAGGGTCCTGCCATCCACTTCCACGGAACGCGAGTCAGAGGCTATGTCTTTCTGCTTCTTCGGAGTTCCCTCCATGGCACATGGCACGTGGAAATTTGCCGCACAGGCCTCAATGGATGACCTGAGGCATGGAGAAGGTGCACAAGCGGAACTACCACTGGTCCTGGTATTGGTGGTCCAAGAAAGTGCCACTCAGTGAGGAGCTAACTTTTGTTAATATGTGTTTGTCTTTACTGATCTGATGTTTTTGGGTTTGCGGACTGTTCCTGGTCCCAGCCTTCCCATCATCCAACTTCCCAGCCTTTCCCATCCAACTTCCGGCATTGGATCCCTGCCTTTCAGTGGCTCCAGGAGATGAAGCATCAGCTGCTGGCGGGCCAATCCCTCACCCTGCAGGTGGTCTCCCGTGCGATGACGGAGCATGGGAACACGCAGCCGAGCCGGCAGGCCGTGGCGTCGCGTCGCGGGAACAAGACGTCGTTTGTTCGAGGCGAGTCGTGGGTCGTGGGTCGGAACATGGGAAGACATCTATTTTACCCTGGGGCTCCAACCACCTCCTGAGAAGGTGGTTGGGGTGGGTTTGGGGGGTCTAACCACCTTCTGAGTACATCGAAATAGGTGAATCCCATGGCCCAGAGTGCCAAGAAATTCTATGAAATTCACGTACCAAGTAGCCGCCTGAGCCCTGACCCTTGGGCTACATATAATGTTGTAGGACCTCCATGCTGTCACTTTGTTCACCCAGAAATCCCGTTGCCCAAGGACGCCGTGTCCTTGTACAACCTCGTGGGGAACATCTGCAACTACCAGACCCACACGCCGGCTGCTTTGACCTGCCTTTACATGTTTTTACTCACCTTTTTTCATGGGGTGGTTCTTCCACTTTGCGATTCTTGTTACCAGGCAAGCAACGCACAGCTAGGGCTGGTAGGATCATGTGACATCACCAGGCTGGCGACTCTGAGCCAAAGGCTGCTTGCTTCCCACGATCCTAGACACTCCATCTACATTGACCCCAGGTCAACCACCCCAACTGATCGGAAGTCATAAGTAATATACTGTAATCATATGTGCCAGTCTCAGTCTTTGGATGTCTTTGGGGGCATATGTGGAACCCCTATTTTGGGATGGAGGATCCATGAACATGTGTGTCCCTGTTTCCTTTTGTTCTTTTTCCGGGTCTCCTGTTGTGAGTCCTGGTCAGACCGTCAAGGTCAACCTGCACAGGTCCACGGTCGGGCCGCGGCGAACGGACCGCGTCTCAGGTAGTGATAGATCCACGCAGATAGGGTGGAACTGCAAGGAACTGCACCTGCGAAATGCGACAGTGACTGCTTGCGGGATTCAGACTCCTGGGAGACTTCGATGACGATGTTCGAGTGAATCCTGGGGCAATGTGTTTCTTTTTTTAAACAATTAACTTAAGAACGAAGTCTGTGTAAAGTGAATATGGTGAATGTACATGGCACCTGGTGACCGGACAAAATCCTGGAAAAATCCGACTGGTGCCAAAGTACGACGTCCTGAATTTGCTGGATGTACAGTGATAGCAGATGAACAAGTGCTAGGTCAAGCCTCAGACCCCCTTAGCTTTGAATCATTTTGACACTATCTTCTATTACTTGATTTTGATTGACCATTTTTGTGGGGAGCTGTGCCGAGGTTTTGACCAGCCATATCTTTGACAAAGTCTTCTGGCTTGATTCCAAAAAGTTCCACTTGAAGAGGCTAGACATGAGCAGATGAGTCTATTGTGCAGATCAACAGCATGACCGACTCAGAACCAACTCTATTTGGATTAGTGCAAAGCATGAGCTGTATCCGACTCCCGTGGGATGGCCGTGCATCCGACGAAACCATCCGAAACCATCCGACTCCCTCACTGGATGGGACTCAACACCATCCGGGCCACCGGCGGACGCTCGTTTCTCCTCCCGTTTTCCGCGGACAGTTCGGAAAAACGGCGCGTCGTTTTTCACCCCCCGTTTCCAGACCGTTGTTCAGCTCGCAAGACCCGAGAAGAAGGCTCTCACAGTGTGTTCCTAATTACAAGAAGCTACCAGTAACTAAGGGCAGTAAACTACTAGTAACTAGTCGCAAGAAGCTACTCTCTAGGGCTCCAGTCGTACCTCCCCAGAAGGTATTTGGACCCTCTAAACTCACCCCAGTCCCACCTTCGAAACGAAGATCCGACTGGAGCCCAAATGGGACTAGTAGCTCCTGGCATTACTACTATACCCAGTGCATCCCAGGCAAACCACTATCTAAGGAACCAGGGATTCGGAACGTCGAACTGGTGTTAGTCGGAACCACTGGGACTCCCAGCGACATCGTGGGAACTGCCTGGATGTTTTGGGAATAGGAACAAGAGGACGCTACAACCGTCACGGCACGTCGCGTCGGACGGGACTGTTCTTTCGCCCGTCGCCGTCGCCGTCGCCCTGCGTCGCGACGCACCCGAGGCATTGAAGCCTTGAGAGCCCAGGCGGAGGGACCAAGAGGACCAGGTCAGTGACCAGGTCTGCAGGTTTTAGGAGGATGGTTACTTATGGTAGTAGATGAACAGTAGATGCTTGTAGGGACCAAGCTTCACACATTGATGTACATGGTTCTCATTGGTTCTCTTTTTCTGAGAGGCGGCGGCAAACTCTCCGGTCGCTACCGTAGATGAGTTTGATCATACCGAGGATGATCTCTTTCAGCCGAGGATGGCTGGATGACTGGGGGATGATCCCTTTCAACATCATTGGACAGCTTTGAGGAAACCCAACAGTCAACCAAACCCAGGGCCCCAGACCATCGATTTTGGAACCAATGCCTATAGCTATGCCCAGGTCAAGAAAAATGCATGTAGGTCAATAGGCTATGGATGGTCTAGGCATAGGGACATCCCACTGAATAACAGGTTACCACTCAAGTCTGTGGAGCTTAGGGTTTCAAAGTCTATTGAGCCTTTGGGTCTCACGAGACCTTGCAAGTCACTGGGCAAGCCTGGATCCTGTGGGCCAGGGTACCAGGCCTGGAACGATAGATGAAACAGTTCAGATGACCCATGATATACCCCAATCACCGAAAGGTCGCTTGAAGTTGGTTCATGTCCCGAAAAAAGGGTACACCGAAACTGCATGTAGTAGCCTAGTGTTCTCGTTTTCTCAGACAGCCCGGCACACCTCCCGTACATGACATGTCATGTTCTCAGACGCCTCGCAGAGATGCAGGAATCATCCAGGTTCTTGTCAGATGGGTCTCCCAACTTCAAGGATTGCCACGCGAGTGAATTGCAACTGCTTGCCACTTTGCGAACTGCCAGCGAGGCTTTAGGAGTTTGACGGTTTTCAGCCACATCAGCACTACAGTTCAAAGGTCGCGATCAACCTGTGACACGAGTAAGTTCATGAAACGACAGCTCTGCAGAGCTTGGTCCTTTGTTGTTCAAGATCAACTTTCTCAGTTGAATCGCATTGAAGCTACACCCTTCGATCAACCAAGATTTCTTTGTTATATATTAGCCGAATGAGGTGATTCAGTACATTTGCCCACTGATCCGCTCCCCTCCCTTGACCACCCCTCGCTCCGTCTGCTCCTCGCTCCGTTTGCTCCGTCTGCTCGCGTCCGTCTTCAGGCCAATCTGTGGAGCTCCTGTTTGGCGAGAGCCCAAAGCGAGACCCAGGAGGCTCACGTCGCCCAAGGCCAAGTCCAAGAGGCCCGGTGGACACGGACGAAGCCCGCGGACGGACAGGAATAGACCGGTGGTCTTCGGGGTGAAGGGCATGTCTTCGGGTGGAGACGTTGATCGGACGGTGACGGAGGACGGGTTAGACGGGGTACATGGTCTCACATGGTCTCACTTCATCATTGCACAGAATATGCCAGGAAAGCGTCTAAAGGAAGGAGGCTGTTCTGGCCCAGACTAGATGATCACCGGAACGTATGGGTGTACTGGTCCGTCTTTGGTGGGATTCATTCCCAGCTCCATTCCCAGCTCAACATGAAACTCCCGCTGTGACTGCCTCTCGCCTTGAAGGCTCACCCATGCTACTCCCTCTTTTGCTGTCTACGATCCCTTTTGTTCATGAAACGTTCAGTCCGGTTTCTCCATCCGGTCTCGCTCTCCGGTCGCGCTTTGGTCCTTCGGACCATGTACATCCTCAGGGGATCAGACCGGTTGGCGCCATACCCAGTGGATCGACTGGGAAGCGACCAAGAGATTGGAATCACTTGAAAACCAACAAAAGTAACACATGTCGGAAACTAAAACACCAAATATATATATATATATTTTTAAGTGACTGACCTGACATGACCTGACTCTTAATTCTTAACACGTTTATTATACTGTCTTGTAATCTCTCAAAAGGAGTACTCTTGCCCAAAGAGTTACGTGTTCTTTGTTCAGCTCCACTGGCTCCACTGCTATGTCAGTCCGCTTGAGGATGGAAGTTTCACGTTCTGGCACAAACCAGAGGCTTTCATTTGTCTTCCATTCTTTTCCACAAACCATGGAGGACCATGGAGGACCCTTTCCTCCGCCAAAACTCCCGGACACCACACCACCCGCGGCGTCAGGACCTGGCCACGTTTGCTCGGCGCCTGGAAGATGCCTGTCGGGGGCACCTGGGGGCCCTGCCACCGCGCGGAGTCCTCCGCGCTCGACGCCGCGCAGACACCGGATGGTCTGTTTGGGGACAGCATCGGTGACCCGAGCTCTGGTATTTGTTGGGACGAAGCAGTGGTGGTGGAATGTGACAAAGCCCGGGTGGATGGGGACGAGATCTTTCTGGGGCACCTCACCCAAGGTCTTGAATCTCGGGAGGCTTGTCCTAGTGAAAGCAAGATGTAGGACAAGAACGCTGTAGCACAAAGATGCATTTGCGTTTAGGTCATGATTTGAGACAGTTCCAACCCTTTGGGCCAAGAATGGTTGCGAGAATCCATCTTGAATCGAGCCTGTCCGGTTTCAAAGCCTACATGGCAATGTGCTTCCATGTTGTTTTGCATTTCAGTGACTGATCATTTGGTGGTTGAGGAACAAATTGGTACAGTGCTGTCCAAAAAGCAGATCCTTTTCAACCAGGCAGCGAAGCACCTTTTTACTGCGTTATTTTTCCTTGATCAGGTCCAGGTTCGTACCCATGCGTGCATTGCCCATACCATCCCATTTTCCCGTCCCTCGTTAACAGTCATGGGTACGTGAATGGCCCTGCCCCTGAGAAGACACCACTGACTTCCATGGGAGTTGGAAGGAGGGTATCTTGAACCAATTTGAACCATGTCAATCTGTTAGCACTCTTCACGGCTCGGCTCAGGTTCGGAGCTCAGAGAAGAAGGCTCGGCTATGCTCGGCTTGCGGTTTGAGTTTGGGGCGCAAGAATCCAGGAGGTCAGGGTGGGTGAAGAAAAGACATCAAGTCAAGTATCTCCTGTGTTCCTTCCCATCACCGGGTGATGTTGTGCTGGGTGATGATGGTTGATGTTTTGAACTGGTTTTTGGGCTGGGGAAAATCCCTTGCAACAGGTAGAGGTTGATTCACCGGTGGGATCGGATAACCATGTTGAGACGGTGCATGCATGTTCGGTTCATGTTTCTGGATGCCATGGCCCAGTTTGCCCTTGATCACATTCAGCGGTTGGAGTGTCGTAAGGTTGGAGAGAAACCATCGTATGGTCATAATCCCGTCACTTGGGGTCTAACAGTCAGTGATTCTTAGGTACCTGGTTCCTCAAAGTGACCCACACTGAGATCCCAGACTTCTTGGTCAGTGAGGCTTCTAATTAAGGGTCACTTCTATAGGGACCCTCAAGTCAAGTCCACGAACTGAAGAAGCGGGCATACGGCATAACTAATAGCTATATTGGGCCTCCAACCTGAGAGCGATGGCCTCCAACCTAATAGGACTTTTTCCACTCTTGGTTGTCATATGCATGTATCCAGGTTTTGCAGGTGTGGTTTCTAAAGCTTTGGAGAACCGCTTGATTGAAGCTGAGGATGGCGGGTTGGTAGGAAATGGTTTTTGCCGGGGCGTTTCCTCCAGAACCAGAGAGAATTGGGTGTGATTTGTGTTGTTCCTGCGAATGAATGAAATGCTCCTTTTGTGCGACAAATTCATACATGAACAACGTTCAGCCTAACCATATCGTATGCATTCGATTATTATGTTGTCCTCTATGATATCGGTGGTATGTAGTATGTGAAGAGATGTTTTTCAACGGGCAGCGCGGGGGAGAGGCGTTTTCTGTTTGTTTTTTTGGGATCACCGGTAGTGTTGCGAACTGTGGTGATGGCTCCTCAGATCGAGGTTCGCTCTCCCAATCAAGACCCTGAGGAGGAACCACTCTTTAGTGTGCGACCTTTGCCGAATCACAATGCACTAACCCACCTATAGGTGGGGCCTATGGTAATTTGGATCTTCAAACACCTTTATGTTGGTCATGGGACGTCAGAGTTTGACTCAGGTACCACCGGCGGCACTGCCAGCGAGGAAAGCTTGGCCCAGCGCTTTTCACAGGAGTGGGTTTTTGTTTCTTCAGACCATGAAGCACTGGGCCAAAGGGGTACATCAAATACTTGTTTCAGAGTAGATGTCCTGGACACATGGGGG